ATACATTTCAGGAAACTATATTACACTTTACAACCAGCAGAAATGTGGAATAATCAGGTTATCAAAGAATAATAGGGTCAGTAGTGGAGCAAGTACTTGTTCAGGGGACTGAGGTAATGTTCAGAATTCCAGTGCTGCATGGGGACAGAATTTAAAATTAACACAGAACTCTCAGGTGCCTGTGGTTGTTGAGAGCAGCTGGGAGAAGTCTCTGGAAGAGTAAGGGTCCTATTCTCTTACCAAACCTCTTTGCATTTAAAAGACCCAGCAATGTCTCTGACTTGGCTCCCTCATTGTTACTTATTTGGTGTTGAAAGAGTCCAGCTTTCCTCAAAGAAGAAGCCCAGACAGACAGAACCTGGTCTCCTAACCATCATTTTATATCACTATAGTCTAAGCTAATTTCCTGACAATGAGCCTGACATACAATAGAGTAGTTTGAACGACAGATCTAGTCAGAACTATACTATGAAGATTTTGCCATCCAATGTATATTAGGGACTTCTTTCCTGTAACATTAGGAACTTATTTTCTATAAAAATTGCTACTACTTGAATGATACAAATCAAGTGAAAAATGCAAACCTATTGGTACAACACTGTCAATTATTCAACAAGAATTTACTAACAAGTGTTATCTATATGTTGCATATATCAAATATCCCATGAATCTTAGCCTGACTTCCTCCAAAATAAGAGGCAAAGTTTGCATGCAGGTAGTTTATTTGAAAAAATGGGACCAGGAGGCAGGAGTATCAGCAGAGATAGGAAAGGAAGGATGAAAATCAATGCAAGAATGTGTTACTGAGTTGGCTCTCAGAGGAGCCTTAGAATATGCTCTCCAGGAGACAAAAAGGATTAACATTTTAATATTCTTCATGTAATTGTAGATTAATGATAACAAAAAAAAAAGAGAGAAAGAAAAGGGGGAATTACTCCCTGATAGGATAAAACTAACTGCAAATCAACGATTAATGCATGCTTTACATATCCTTAATTTTGATCTTTCAAAGGGTGTCAGATGATCAGCTATGGAAGTACATTTCTCTGACAATATTCCTTTCTCTTAAAAAAAAAGCAGTTCCTGTGTGGTGATCTCCAATAGGTTCTTCACAATGGTATAAAGGTCATATCAAAGTGTGGGCAAAGGGTTTGTTTGTGTTTATACAGAGGATCAAAGCCTAATTTGGCTACACAGAAAACGAATTAAGATACGATATGAAGAAGAACTTCCAACATCAACATCCTCTGGAAGAGTCATTCCAGAAGATGAACATCAAAAAACTTCAACAAAGATCCTGGCGCTGCTGCAGTTGTAGCTGCAGTCATCCCACCGGTTCCTGGACTTGCCATTGGAATGAAGAAGGAGATATCTAAGCTGGCCTGTGCATACAGTAAAACAACAAATTTGACTGGATCTATACTGTCTGAACTCAACCAAGAATTAGGGGAAGTGCAAGTTGCAGTGCTCCAAAATCATGCGACTATAGACTATCTACTGTTAAAAGACCACATGGGATGTGAACAGTTCCCAGGAATGTGTTGTTTTAATTTGTCTGATTTTTCTCAAACTATTCAAATTCAGTTAGACAATATCCATGATATCATTGATAAGTTTTCACAAATGCCTAGGGAACCTAACTGGTTTTCTTGGTTTCACTGGATATGGCTGGTAATTGTAGGTCTGCTTTTATTATGTAGCTGTATTCCTATTCTGTTAATGTATGTGCACAATTTAATTAGTAGTTTAAAACCTATACATGCTTATGTTACTCTACAAGAAGATATGTCAAAGAAATAATCAATCTTCCCACGTTTTCTTCTGACTGCTACTTCTATAGTTTTTCTTCTTCCTTCCTAATTACAACCCTTAAGTAGAATTAGTGTGCCTCATATAGAAAATTACCGAGTATCATAATTCTTCCAAGTGGTAAAGATACCTCAAGACAAATGCTGGGCATAGAAGCCACAGGGCATGAATCTGCAAAGAAGTAAAAACTAACCTTTTCAAAGAATATTGCTTCTCTCTCACTTATCAACTTTACATTTCCCTGTATGGCCCCGGAAGATGATTGGTTAGCCAGAGACGGGTAAGATTCCTCAAGGGAGGAACACCCTAAGACAGGCACAGTCGCAGGGGAGCCATCAGAATGGAAATTGGGGACCAACAGAGGGGAGGCTTAGAACCTCACCCCCCGTTTTGAGAGAAATCTTCTGCATCCATGGATGTTTTGTTGCCCTTGTCTAGCTTGGATTAATACTTAGTCTATAGGCACAGACCTGATCATCTACATTTGCCCTCACCCTCTAACAGCACTAAATTGTTTTCTACCTTTATCTTGCATCTACCTACCACTTCAGCATTTTATTAAAATAATAATAATAATAATAAGGGAGAAATGTGGGATTCACATATAAATCAAGTATAAAAATCAAACGACTAATCATATCTTACTTGATTGTTTATAGTTCATGATGCGTGATCAAAACCGAAAGTTTCTGTGACATGACTGCCCTTGCACTGTTCACCATGTAAGAACTTATTCACTATGTAAGACCTTGTTCACCATGTAAGAACTTATTTGTTATGCTTCTGAAGATTGGATACTGTTGAGATATAGGCTTGGGGTTGATTAATGACTGTGCATTGTTGTTAACAACCATTTGATTTTATTGTTGTTAACAACCATTTGATCAATAAATATGAGAGGTGCCCTCTCAAAAAATAAATAAATAAAATTAAAAAAAGGATTAACATTTATCTACTGATTGCTGTTCCCCATTGGTCAAGGGGGGGTCCTATGAACATTAAACCCACTACCCACCAATTTTTTTGTACATGCATGAGTTCAGAGCCTGTTCAATAGTGCTTACCAATGAGTCAGACTGGGCACTGCCCTATCCACTTAATGCAAAGCTCTTCAAGGCACGTGTGGAGTCAGTAAGTGGTTAAGTAAGAGGCCAGTCTGAGGACTTAGCAGAGGCATCCAGTTATTACCATACTTCAAAACTGATTGCCACAGTGGGAATTAGAATATGATTTTCTAATTCTGATCCAATATCTTCTAATTAATATTTTATAGAGTCATTTAGATTTACCAAGAATAACCTCATTAACACTTTTGAGAACATAGTGCGATCTCAATAATTCAGGCTGCATTAACCATTGTGATTCATGGACTGAGAGTAAATTTATATTGGTATTACCTATTTTTTTAAAACAGGACATGCTTAGGTATTAAGCATATAAGCCTGACTCCAAAGAGCATTTAAAAATATTTATCTTTACCATCATCTCTATAGACAATTATATGTTGGCAGTTACTTCTAAAACTAGCCATTGTAAACATTCAATAATCAAATGGCTGAAAGAATGAAAAACTTAAATTGTAGTTACAAAGCTGCTTAATCCATTAATTAAACAATGTGTCTTCTATGATCTACTGCTAGCCTGATTCTAGTTATTCTGTGTACCTTACATTTATAAAATGATGTTTTATTAGAGAATTGGTCTATAAATCACATGTTCTTCTAGAGCTAAATGCCCCTAGGAAGTTTTAATGATACTTCTCTGGATAAAAATGAGGAAAATCTAAGGACAGAACAATAAGATTCTATTTGCTATTTTGGAAGTAATTAAAATAGACTTCTCATATCTTTCATGTCTCTTCTCTGTATTTCATCTGGCTTAAGTATTTTAATCTATCTTAATTTTATTTATATTAATATATATTAACTTACATATTAAATTTATCTATAAATTTATCTTAATTTTACAATAAAATAAAGCCACTCCTATCTCAATCCTTTCTAATGTTGAATGTACTTTTAAAAGATGATTTTCTTCAACTTTGAAACCATTTAAAAAGTTGTAAGAGCAGTAAAATGAACCTTAATAGTGAGATGATGTTCTTCACTTAGATTCACCCATTGTTAAGAGCTTTTCACATTTACTTTTCTTTGTGTAACTCTTTCCCTCTCTCCATCTCCCTACCTCCCTCCCTTTCTTACATCCCCCACCCCACAATGTGCAAGCACACAGTCTTGAGAGTTATTTGCATAACACTTCAACCCTAAGGACTTTAACATATATCCCCTAAGTACAATAGCATTCTTCTCCTTGATCATAATACTATGATCCCATGCAGGAAAATTAACATTGATATACTGTTACTGTCTAATATAAAGCCCATGTTCAAATTTCCTCAGTTATTGTTCAAATAATGTCCTTTATAATTAAAAAAAAATATCCAAGAGTCAGTTGAGGAAAATCCATTGCAACCTCCTTTAATCTGAAACAATTCCCTGGTCTTTTTCTATCTTTTCTGACACTGATATTTTTGAAGATTGCAGACCAGTCATTTTGCACTATATTCCACAAGCAAGATTTGTTTGTTTCTTCATAATTAGATCCAAGTTAAGCTTTTCTGGGGGAAGGAGAGGCTAGGAATAGTACATCTATGTTGATTTTATCTTCTCACTGCATTAAGGTATGCCCTATCTTATTTTTTTTAACATAATTATGTCTGCATTTTAATTTTTACATAATTGGCATGCTATATATAAATGTTCATGCCCTCCCTTTAAAAAATAAACATTATATCATTTCCCCATGATATAAAAATTCTTTAGACTCATTACTTTTGATGGAGGCATAATTAAGTCCATCATATGGTATTACCATTTATTTGATAAACAAGTCCTCTATTTTTACATGTTTAAAGTATTTCCATGTTATAGTATTATAAAAATGATAATTTAAATATGTTTAGGCCTATTATTTGTCCACACTATGGCATCTTCTTAGAATAAACTGTTGAAAATGTAATTACCTAAATTATTGGATTAAGGGTAAGTACAAACTTTTAAATACTGAGAAATTGCTTTAATGAAATGTAACCAGCCTTCAGGAAGGCGCCTGACCATCCTGCCTCCTGGTCTTCATACTGTACCCCCATCTATATTTTACCAAAATTGATCTTCATACCATTATATCTGCATTTTACCAAGGTTGGTCTATGTAACTGAGAGAATCCAGCAAAGTAATGGTATGTCACCTTCAAGGTGAGGTCCTAAAAGACACTGTGGCCTCTGTCTTGGTCATTCTTTCTCTCAGGTTACTGTGCCTGAGAGAAGCCAGAAGCCAGCTGCCATGTCACGGGGGCACACCCAAAGTCTGTGAAGAAGTCCACATGACAAGGAACTGAGGCTGTTGGCCCATAGCTGTGAGGCCTTAGTCTGGCTAACAACTACACACTTGACTCAAAAGTAGGTTCTCCTGTCTGGTTTGAGGGTGCAGTAACTATCCCCAGCTATGGACTGTCCTTCCTGAGCGTCAAGCCAAGCTGTTGCTAGGCCCCTGACCCACAGAAATTGTGAAATGATAGATGTTTGTTGCTTTGAGCTCTTAAGTTTTATAGTAACTTGTTACACAGCAGTACATAATTAATATATAAAATGTGTGTTATTTTATATTCTCACCAGCAGGGCATAAGAGCCTGTCTAACCACACAGTTAGTTGTATTCTTTTTAAAATCATTTTCATTTCATGTATTTTTCTTTTTTAAAGGCAACTCTTTATTTAAATTTGCATTTCTTAGACTACTCATGAGATTGGATTTTTTTTCCAAAAATTTTAATAGTTGTTATTTCATGTTCTGTGAATGGGTTAATTAATATATTCATATCTTTGCCAACTTTTTATATGAAAATTTTATTATGTATGAACTTATTTCCCTTTTCCAGTTATATTGACACTAAATATTTTTACAAATTTTCAAATTTGCCTTTTAATTTTGTTTTTTATGGTTTTTTGGCATCCAGAAGTTTTAGATTCTCAAGTAGTCAAATTCATTCATTTTTATCTTTGTGATTTCTTCCACTATCTTTATGCCTAGGAAGTGCTGCTAGTAAAAATGAAGCAGGACTAAAGAATGACAAAATGAGGTAGGATTAGGTATACAGGCTGGTCTGGAAAGGCCCCACTGATGAGACATTTGAACAGAGACCTAAAGAAAGAGAAAGAAAAGCCATATGAGTCAGAGAGAAATAAATTTCAAGTGTTGCATTTTAACAAAATTTTTCTGCACCTATCAATTCTTATGTCTATTAGTATGGTGGACTAGATGGGCAACTAGTGGAATATACCTTACAATGTTGGTTTGGGGATTTTTTAGAATCTGTACTTATCTTATTCTAATAAGAAACAAAAGAACAGAAAAGTAATTTACCTAAGGTTTCATAGATAAGTGGTAGAGCTAGGACTGGAAACCAGGCCATTCCGCTACAATGTAGGCGTGTTATCTATACTGCCATAATCCCTTTTTTTTGAAATTGTGTTTAAAAACACATAACATTATACTTACCATCTTAACTGTTTTTAAGTGTACAGTCAGTAGTGTCAAGTATATTCACACTGTCATGCAACAGATCTCTAGAACTTTTTCACCTTGCAACTCGGGAACACTATACTCACCAAACACTAATTCTCTTCCCCTTGCTCTTGGTAACCATGTTTCTATTTTTTGCTTTTATGGTTTAGACCACTTTAGATACTGCATATGGGTGGAACCATATAGTATATATTATTATTATTATTATTATTTTTGTTTTTTTGGGCAAATGAAATAGACATGTTTAATGTGTACAACTTATATAGAGATATACATATGCATAATATATATACTTAGACAAAGATTGTGAAATAGTGACCACAGATAATTAATACATCCTTTAGCACAGCTGGTACTATTTTCCTTTATCCCTATGATTTTTTTTCCCTTTCTTTCCCCCACCCTTCTCCCTCCTTCCCACCCATCCTCCCCAGTCCCTTTCCCTTTGGTAACTGTTAGTCCATTCTTGGGTTCTGTGATTCTGCTGCTGTTTTGTCTCTTCAGTTTTCCTTTGTTCTTATACTCCACATATGAGTGAGATCATTTGGTACTTGTCTTTCTCCACCTGGCTTATTTCACTGAGCATAATATCCTCTAGCTCCATCCATGCTGTTGCAAATGGTAGGATCTGTTTTTTTCTTAACGGCTGAGTAATATTCCATTGGGTATATGTACCACATCTTCTTTATCCATTCATCTACTGATGGACATTTAGGTTGCTTCCATATCTTGGCTACTGTAAATAGTGCAGCATAAACATAGGAGTGCATCTGTCTTTTTCAACCTGGAGTGCTGCATTCTTGGGGTAAATTCCTAGAAGTGGAATTCCTGGGTCAAATGGAATTTCTATTTTGAGCATTTTGAGGAATCTCCATACTGCTTTCTACAATGGTTGAACTAATTTACATTCCCACCAACAGTGTAGGAGGGTTCCCCTTTCTCCACAACCTTGCCAACCTTTGTTGTTGACTGTCTTTTCAATGATGGCGATCCTTACTGGTGTGAGGTGATATCTCATTGTGGTTTTAATTTGCATTTCTCTGATGACAAGCGATGTGGAGCATCTTTTCATGTGTCTGTTGGCCTTCTGAATTTCTTCTTTAGAGAACTGTCTATTCAGCTCCTCTGCCCATTTCTTAATTGGATTATTTGCTTTTTGTTTGTTGAGGTGTGTGAGCTCTTTATATATTTTGGATGTCAGCCCTTTATCGGATCTGTCATTGATGAATATGTTTTCCCATACTGTTGGATACCTTTTTGTTGTATTGATGGTGTCCTTTGCTGTACAGAAGCTTTTTAGCTTGATATAGTCTGACTTGTTCATTTTTGCTTTTGTTTCCCTTGCCTGGGGAGATATGCTCATGAAGAAGTCACTCATGTTTATGTCCATGAGATTTTTGCCTATGTTTTTT